CGCGCCCGCCGAACACGCGCAGACGTCGCGATCCGAGGAACGTTCTGTCGAGAGCGACTCCGCGCACAATGGCTGCGGCCCGCCATGCCAGAGGCCTGGCGCAGGCCCCCGGCCCCCGAGAACACCGGCCGGGCAAACTCGTTCGCTCGTTCCAAGAACGGTCTCGTCACGTGCCCAATTTATGCGCAACCTGTGCGATTTCTGATCCGCAGAATGGTCTGTCTTCAGCGGCTTGTCGCAAAGCCCCGGTTCAGTCCAAAGCCTCGCGCCGGCCACGGAGCGCGAACAGTGGGTGAACATGCGCGCGGAAGCGGATGCCTTCAGCGCGCCGCCCATGCCTTGGCCGCCTGCTACCGCCTGCGAGCTGCAGCGCCCTCCCAGCGGCAGTCAGCACATCGCTAAGGGAAGCCAGCAGCAGTCTCGCATTTGTTTAGCACCATGGCGATTCTGAAGCGACAGGTCCGAATGACACGCATGACTTTCATAGCCCCAGAAAACAAACAACTTGGCCAGAACGGATCGGGCATCTTCGCTAATGGACTGCAGGATCTCGGTGACCAGCATATCGTCCATAGAGCATGTTCATCCTCTGTAGACGCGCTCCCAAGAGGTGGGCGTTTGTGGCGGGCCCTGCATATCCGATCGCTGCCATCCCTGGCGCGCCCAGTCAGGCACGGGCGCTCCCCTTAGGGTCGGCAAAAAGCCGCGCGCGCATAAAACAGGCGCAACATCTTCCGCAGACGTCACTGCCCGTCGTTCGCGCACCCCCACCTTATTCGCTCGAATTTGCCCCGTCCCCCCCTGTCTTGGTCGTCAAAATTCCCTCCCAAACGTTTTTGTGGGCTTCGGATCTAGGCGTGGCCGAGCAAGAGCATGACGTTCCACAAGGGCCTGCCCGATCTGGCGTCGCAAGGCGTCGGGTTCCTGATATCTCATACTGTGGACCTCATGGACCAATCGAACCTAGGGATGTTCTTCAGGGAGCCCGGGGGTCTTGGAGTGTTTGGGTGAAATCCCGCGCCTGGCCACCGTCGTCGCAGCCTGCGTAAAGAAATACAAAAAGGGTAGGTCAGCCCCGCCACCGCCCCTCCACACAAATGTAGCGGCGTCGCCACGTGCCTCATTCAACTCGGGTCTCGCCCGGCACGAGATAGACGCTGTGCGAGGTCTGGACAGAAGAGCAGACGGCGCGCAAGTGAACAGAGCGCAGCCCGATAGCGCGCCGCCATATTGTCCAGGGGAACAGTATGGCAAAATTAGATTCGTCCACGAGTACGTTACGAATACAGAGGCGAGCGGATCGGGAGTCCAGCATGTCCAAGGAACATGTAAACGTTTCATGTAGAACACACTCGCGCCTGCTTCAAGCACCCAGGCACCCCCCAACTCTGGCCGGACAGTCCGCGAGTTTGTCGCACAAGTCTGAAGAATTCCGTGCGCCCCTTGATCCAATCAAGTTTGGTATCGTAGGCCCGCTTCACACAAAACCGCAAATGGGCAAACGCATGAGACGTAAGTACTTGATGTACGGGAATGAATTCGGAGCCGAGGGTGCCGAAAACGTAGGAATCAACTGGCGCAGCCATCGTGGTGCCCGGAGGAATCACGCGTTTGCAAGACCCGATGGCCTCTGCTAGCAGCCACAGGCGCATCTCAATAGCACCTGCCAGCTCAGCCGCACTTTAGTCAGTCAGATAGCCCCAATGTACCTCGGATCCAACATGTCCAGCACCACGGCCACGCAAGCCTAGCAGCACGGTTCATCGTAGCTGGGGTCGGTGGAGGGAGGGACGGGGGCGAAAAAGGTAGGGAAACCAGGAAAAACACCCAACCGCATTGCGTGGCTCTCCCTTTCGTTCCTCGTCGTTGCCCGCCCGCGAAAACCCGAAAACTGGCTTCGGCACTGATCCAGGACGTCTAACCCAAGAGCCTCATCACACTGCCACCCCATGGTGTGGTCGGTTATCGTCAATCTGCATGTTCTGTAGACAAGTAAACGACGCTTGGCAGCAGGACAAAACACAACTTTTGGCCCCGGGCTTCCGGAAGCGCGGGAAAGAATGGGCAGGTGGCCGCTTGTGGACGCAACTGTGTTCCGAGTCCCGACAGAACAAGCTGACTTCGGCATGCTGCAGGGTACTAACTCGTGCTCGTGGTTGCGTTCCGCCGGAATGCTACAATAACAAATGCACTGACCTACAGAACTCGTCAACCAAGTGTTAGACGCATGAACCATGCTGACAAAACGAACTAATCTAACGAGGTTGCCTTTTTCCCACGCGACTTTCACGACGACGTGCGGTCCGACATATCTTGCAGGGAATTTGTCGGTGCCTGGGGGGGCGCATTGGTGCGGGAAAACCAGAAGCTTTTAGCCCTGGGGCGCTTGATCTATGAGGTCCTGCAACTCGCCGATGTCTCCGAGAAAGCTGCCGCGCGAATCTGAAGGCTCGACATGACTGCAAACTAACCAAAGGGGGCCTAGGTCAAGAAACTGGTAGGCCCTGGCAGGCGAGAGCGATGGCAGAACTAGTGTATACTGGAGGGCAACCAACGCGGGCAATGTAATCTTCATGGGTTGCACTCGCATTCCTCCACATGAGCCCTCATATAGGAGGACCACTGATAACTGCGTGGCTCGAGACGTCAGCAGCGGCATCACGTTGTACATGTGTGTCCTCCTGCAGGCACAAAAACTGCCCATCCGAATCCCACCAGCCCGTTGGGCAAAGGTGGTCTAACGAGTATGTTTGTCTTCGTCCACCCTCCAGGAAGGTTTACCTCCCCCGCTTGAGTTTGTTGTTGTTCTTTGTTTGGGGGGGTCGCAGAGTGTCAGGGCGCCCAAGATGGCCTAATATGGCTCCAAGACAAACTCCGATGCTCTCAGATGGCCTCCCAAGATGGTTCAAGATCGCCGACGATAACTCGAGATAGCTTCAGAGATACCTTCAAGAGGCGCGACGAAGGCCACAAGACAGTTCCAAATGCTCCCGGAGCGCCCATCAAGACCCCCCTGCAAGGCCGACATCCGTCAAACACATACGGGAAAAAGCTGACTTTGGCCTTCCCAGCTATTCGTTTCCGATGCGCTTTTGTAGCCTCAAGGTGTCCCCAAGATGGCCCGAGAGAAGCCCAAGAGGGGCCTAAGAGGCCCTCCAGACGGCCCCAAGAGCGCCCAAAAGCGGGCCAAGAGCATGCAAAGAGGGCACCAAGAGGCGATTTTGATGACCCCAGGGGGGATGCAAATCGAGGGCCACCCCCTTTAGTTTGATGGCGTCCAAGATGGCCCTGGGAGACACTCCAAGGCCCCCAAGGGACCCCCAAGGAACCCCCTAGAGAGCCCCAAGAGGGCCCCACGAGGGCCCCGAGACCCCCAAAGGAGCCCCAAGAGGACCCCAGGACCCCCCAGAAGAGCCCCAAGAGAGCTCCAAAGGGCGATTTAGATGGTTTTGTTCTGGTCCTGGTTGTCCTCCTCATCCTCCTTGCCCTCGTCCTTGTCCTTGCACTCATCGTCTTCCTTGTCCTTTTCCTCCTCTTCCTCGTCGCTGTGGTAGTCGTCGTCGTCACCGCCGTTGTCGTCGTTGTCATCGTCGTCGTCGTCGTCGTCATCGTCGTCTTCCTCCTCCTCCTCCTCCTCCTCCTCTTGAACCTCCTTTTCCTTTCCTCGCCCCCTCTCCTCCTCTTCTTCCTCCTCCGCTTCCTCCTCCTCCTCCTCCTCTTCCTCCTCCTCTTCCTCCTCCTCTTCCTCCTCCTCCTCCTCCCCCTCCTCCTGCTCCTCCTCCTCATCATCCTCCTCTTCCTCCTCCTGCTTCTGCCTGATAGGATGCCTGGAGCCAAGATGGGAGGAGGGGGGGAATGGGGGGGGGGTAGGCAGAGAGGCAGGGAGGGAGGGGGGCGGGGGGGGGGGGGGGAGGAGTGCAGGGAGGAGAAAGGAGAATGGAGGGAGGGCGGGAGGAGGAATGGAGGAAGGGAGGGAGGGAGGAGAAAAGGGGAGGATGGAGGGCGGGCCTCCCCCAGCACCCGCAGGGCTGCCGCCGTGCCCTCCCGCGGTGGGCGCCCGTGCCCGCGCGCGGCCGACGCTGGCCGGGCGCGAGAAACCACAGGCGACGCGCTGCGCCTTGCAGGCTGGCAGCGCGGCGCTTCACTGCGCGGGGCGGGAGGCCAGGAAAGGCTCGCGCGGGCAAGATTTTGATCCACATCCACTGGATCTTGGAGCTTCGGGCCCCTTGCCTCCGATACCACGAGGCGCCGTGGGTATGCCCCAGAGGTCCGATTCTTATCCATGTCCACTGCGCCGCGGCCTGTTGGCGCCCCTGCCCAGAAAATCCAAGAAGCAACGGATATGGATATAATTTCTGCCCGCAGCTCGGGACGTTGACGATCGGGGACCGGGAAGTGCATGGCGTGACGCGCCGAAGCGTGGCGGGCCGGAACTGGCCGCGCGACGCGCTAAGCAAACTCGTTCCCGACCGTAAAGGAGGAAGCCAGGGCCAGCTCCGTGCGCGTCGTGAACAAGGAGACGGAAGGTTTCGTGTCATCTTCGGCCACTGTGGGCCATGCCCCAGGGCCGTCAAAGCACGGCTCGGGCGGAAAAGCTGCCCTGGGAAAGGGGTCGAGATCTCTGAAAGCCCACGTTGCGAATATCAATTACGGCGTTGTGGCTCTAAGAGATGAGATCCATCGAGGTCAAAATTGTTCGGTGGGTTCTCAAATGTTATACGAGCTCCTCGGGGCACCACATGGAACCAGAAGGACGATGGTGGACCTACTGCGTAATCCCGAATCGGCTGCAAAGACTCTCGCGTCTCATCCCCGTTTCTCCTCCTCCTCCTCCTCCTCCTCCTCCTCCCCCTCCTCCTCCTCCAGCTCATCTCTGGGAAGCTAGTGTTTGTGTCGTGTGGTACATTGCCGCCCGCGTGGAGCAAGTGGTCGCCGAGGAGCTGAAGGTGGGGGGTGCTAGGAGATCATGCATTTGACGTCGTAAATCTTCCCCCGAGCTCCAGCAGCCATGGGCAGCATGCCGTCGGGCCTTGTATGGCCTGCAGGGGGAGGACGAGGAGAGAACGAAAGGAGCAGGATGAGAGAGGACGAGAATGAGAACGAGGAGGAAGAGCTCCCGTCGAGGAAGGCGCAGAAGAAGAAGTGGGAGGAGAAGGAGGAGGAGGAGGAGGAGGAGGAGGAGGAGGATTTTACCTCGGGGGGGCCCAAGGCAGAACGTCGCCTCAAACTGGAAACGGATTCGAGGCAGCAGCAACCGCAGCTCCCTCCTTGGCCTTCACTCTGGCCACCAGCGCGTCCATCCCAGGAGTTTGGATGAGACGCGTGGAGGAGGGGACGGGCTGCCTCGCAAGAGACGATGTAGCATGCATCACCTCCTGCGCAGCAGCTCGAGACACAAGGGCGCGGCCAGTAGTGACGGTGACCCCCCGCCTGTAGCGGGGGTACCGACCTTGAGCGATCAGACTGAGCGCAGCCCGACCACTGGAGCCAGGCGCCCCCTCGCAGCGATCCCCGAGTTTGAAGCATCGCAAGCTCGTGTAGGCATCGCATCGGCGGCAGAAAACTAGCGGATGAAGGTAGCCATCTTGCACCAAAGTGGCGCACAGAAGGTGGGCTCTTAAAGCTTCTGCATCCTGGAGCCTTCTCATCGCTGTTCACGGGCCAGGAGACTGGGGCATGGGCCGGCTCTTATCGAACGAAACTCTGAAACAATGCGAGTGACGGACGACCGTCCTCGAGGGCAACGCCATTTCGAATGGAACCCTGTCGTGCCATCTGTGGGCTCGCAGGGACCTGGGCCGAGGTCCCGCGCGGCCCGGCCGAAAAAAAAAACAGTTTAGGATACGTCGACATAAACGCGGCAAGCAGATCGGCAAGCTTAAAGTGGCAACTGTGTCGTCAAGTCTGGAAAGGTCCTCTTCTGCCACCTGTGGATGCAGGGGGCATGGCGTGCTCGACGGAGTCGTTCCGCATCCTGATTCGACGGGGCAATCTTGCGTTCTGGAGCGGGGAGCGCAGCTATGACATCATCTGAACGGCGCGCAGGCGCGAGCGAAACAGAAACAATCCGCGCCCCTCCTCCGCGAGAGCCCTCCGTCGAATCCCAGCAAAAAAAACATGTCTGGTGCAAGCTGCTGGGCAGGGGGAAGATCGTGCAAATTCGCGGCGCCGAGGCGGTCGCTGCGCGCGCGACTGCGCCCCGTCGCCAGGCAACTGGCCATCGCTGGGCCGAGCTGTTATCCAGCCTGCGGCGTCTGTGGCAGACCTGGCCAGACCGCGCCGATGACGCGCGCGACAATCTGGCGCTCGATGCCAGGCGCGGCAAACACCATGGCATAGCTAGCCCTGTGGGTCTCTCGAAACATCGCTCGGTTAGCCGATCCGTCAGCGACTACGTCGCAGTTGACGGTTCGGCTGCACAAGTCATCTACCTCGAGCGCCGCCCCGTTCGGACCGTGGAGAACGGGGTCAAGGTCCAAGCGCGGAGGCGGGGGCTCGGGCCGCGCAGCGATGAGGCGCGACCAAGAAAGGGGGCCATCCGCATATGCCAACTGGGCCGCGAGGGTCATCTCATCCGAGACGCGATCCCTACGGGCTTGCAGAACTTCTGGCACATAGCAGCAAAGCCACTGCCGATGGACTCGGGTATCGGGGCGACCACGGCCAAGAGGACACAACCCGTCATGCTCGTACCCAGACTCCTTCGTTCGATCCCCTGTCCAGGTAGCTCCACGGGAAAATGCCGAGAGCCTGGGCTTCGCTCGAGCTGAGGTGCGCTTCGATCGAAGCATTCGCCTGAGCGGGTCCGACGCAGCGCGCGCAGCAGGAGAATCCGGCAGCGAACGGGCAAAGATGCACTCATGCTCACGCTGGACTCCCTCCTGCAGCAGAAGATTCAGCATCGCGGGGGGGGGGGGGGGGCGTGGAGGAGATCGATGACACATCCTCGTTCGTCATGCCAAGCCGAGAAATCAACTGCCCCCCAGCCTATCCTCTGGAGTCTCAATAGCATTCGATGTAGAGGCCCTTTGGGCCGCCTCCATCCTGAAGTTTCGAGGTCTAGGAGCTCCGAAGCAACGTCTCTCCAAATTCGGATGTGCTCACGGAAAAATCGGACCTGTGTCAGGCCTCGCGGTCGCCCTCCAAAGACTGGCTCCCCACTGACGTGCTGGCGCAACTGCATGCTTCCAAGTGGGGCCCCCGTGCAAGACGCGCATGGCTGCGAGAGAGGCACCGCGATGCGCGGGGCGCCGACCAGCCATCAGCGCGCGCTGCAAAGTGCGGAGCTCGCTGTTCGACACGCCCAGCAACGTGCCGCCATTTCCTGCTGCGGCGCGAACTCCTGCGATATAGATCTTCGACGTGCGCGACCGATCCCCGGGAAGTTTCTGACGATGTCGGAGTAGAAGCCTGTGGCGACGCTTCCCCACTAGAAATCGTTCCCGACGTTTAGCTTGACCACGCTTACAAGAACGACGTCGTCCTGGGGCAGGATCGACCCCCGAAGATACTGTGGCTTTAAGAGGGGCGGATGGGGGTGCGGCGAGGATGCGGCGGGACAACCTCGCAGCCAAACACTGCGAGGATGCGAAGGTGACCGCCTTGTCCTCTGTAAGCTGCACTCTGAGACCCCGAGAAAATACATCCTTATGATCCACCGCCGCCGCCGTCAAGTTACTCGCGATCTCGCCCTCATCGCCGCGCGCTACCACCGCGTCGTCGTCGACGTCGGACCAAGGAGACCGCGAGGTGCCTGGCCGCAAACAATTCAAACTCCAACATAGCGCAGGCCTCCGCAAACACATCGTTGAAGATGTCCCCCGCAGGAGGTCCCGCACTGGCAAACATCACAAGAGGACTACGGTGGGCCTCAATCTGAGAATCCGAGGGTACAAGGCCCTATCGCGGAGCCAATCCAAGACAACAGATTCATAGTACTTCATGCCATCCCAGATCGACCCAGCCGTGGCATTGCCACTTGAAGAAGCCTGTTCAGACAGCAAACTTCGGTGCCATATAGCTGCCCCCGGGGATTGTCCAGCTCACTAGGCCCTATGGACCTTCTCCAGAAACTCGTCGGCCTGGCTCCGCCGAAGCCGCTCCCATATTCGAACCGGTGCACCGAGGAGTAGAGACGGGCGTGGGCCTCCTTTGGGCTTCTCCAAGAGAGGCATCAGCATCCACAGCATCTGGACAGGGAAGAGACCGAGGCGCTCCACTGCCTCGTACTGCAAAGACAGGACCATGAGGCCCGCGTCGCTAAGGCTGGCGAACTGACGCGGGTGGAAGCCGTCGAGCGACTGGCTCGTGTGCTTGCTAAAAGACCTAGCCGCCATCCTGATGTCAGATGTAGAGGCAGTAGGAAAACATTCTCGATCAAGAATCCAGGCTGTCGGCGGCATTGAACCTGCATGCCACAATTCCCCAAATTTGGTGGATTCCGAGGCCAAGGGGTCTACCGGGTCCGCGGAGAAGTTCCCGAGGGAGCACTGCACTACCGTGGGCTGCCATCTCTTTTGGAGCCTCGTGACTTTGTGCATCAAACGCGCAGATCCCGCTAATGCCGATTCCTGCGAGGAGTCCCAAGACGAACGTACCTCCTTCTCTCCCTCCTTGGTGGCCTCCTCAAAATCCCCCAGTCTATCACCAATAAACTGCTGAGCGCTCTCGCACCACTCCTGGCACTTTGGGCGGTCGGCCTGCCAGCTGGATGCAACGGCCCTCATGGACCTGAGCGACGCACCAAGCCAAGGGCACAAACCTTCCCCAGGGCAGGAGTGCTGCAACGTAGCCTGAAGCTGCTGGCGAACGGAAATGTCAACGTCCGCGCTGCTGTTGACCGTGACTAACATCTCGTGAACAGTGTGAAAAAAAGAAGCAGTTCCACCATGTGATGACCTGCAGCGCATCATCTGGATCCTTTGGGCGATAGAAGACCGACGCCCACGACGCCTTGATCGTTCTGCTCCTCTCCCCCAGCTCCTTCATCTCCCCTCCTGAGAACGTGACGAGCTCCACAGCAGCGCAATCAGCGAAATGGCCCCGCGCCTTGGTGAGGACCTGTCACGCAAGCGTAGCACGCGCATGTGTGGCATGGGGGACTGCCTGAGCTGCATGCGCCAGCGCTCCTTGCCATTCAACGGGGGGGAAAAGGGTTGAGGTCCGTGCGGGGGACCAGTTGGCCATCTAGGATGTGCACGATAATCCAGCTGCTTGTTCCGAAGAGCACCCGAACGAACTTCAAGGCGGACGGGGCGATGAGGCTTCATTACCCAAGACGACCCCACCCGGACCGAGGAAATAAGACGAGCCAGAACAGGGCCCATCATAGCGTAATCGATGATGCTGTTGGATGTTGAGCCACGACATGCGTGCATAGTGGGCGCCATACTGATCATGCCTAGCTTCCGATGGTAACCTACGCTTTCGACAACGTTTAGGTTCATTCGCCCGCAATCTTGGTGTGCACCGAGTTACCTATGGAGGGACCTACAGCGGACAGCGCGCGGAGGTTGGCCTCCCTGAGGCCTTCTGCTGATCGAAGATAAACCGGGTACAGCGTCATGGTCGGCCAGTTGGGGAGGTCAATGGGTGCCTTGATAGCACGGTGGCGTACAACCTCTCATCCTCCCTTATCATCAGACCATCGCAAGCCAAATCGATAACCGTGCAAACACTGCTACTCCTGATGACAACTTGCCTGCATCGGAGGAGGAGGAGGAGGAGGAGGAGGAGCAACGAGCACATGAAGCGACGCGCCGAGTCGAGACGAAGGACAGGCAAGAGGAAAGGGAAACGGTGAGAAGCACAGTCGCACACAGAACGACGAGGGCACACCCTGCAATAGCCCAGCAAAACATCACGGCCACAGGGCACACGCTCACTCACCAACCAGAGGCCTGGCCAGGAGCAACACAGGATCTGGAAAGCAGAACCTGGAGCAGACGCATGCAAGCACCGACGATCAACTCACCAGACGATGCCCTACACGCGGGAAAATACAAAACGAGTTAAAACCTAATTTAAGGCGTTAAATTCT